TGCTTGGCTTATTCCTCCATAACCGATACATACAGAGAATGGAAAAAAAGAGGAAACATAGTGTCTTATCCTGGGTAACAAATGTTTAATGAGCCTCTGATCTCCCACTCACATGGTATCAGCAAAAGTAGCGCTTTGTGTAAATATATCCAAATTCTCCTGCAAACAGCCCAGCCGGTGTGTGTATGTTCACTCGATATACTCGCCGTTCCTCTGTGGATGCGTGATGACGTCACCGCCCCTCCCCAGGGGGAGGGGCGGTGACGTCATCACGCATCCACAGAGGAACGGCGAGTATATCGAGTGAACATACACACACCGGCTGGGCTGTTTGCAGGAGAATTTGGATATATTTACACAAAGCGCTACTTTTGCTGATACCATGTGAGTGGGAGATCAGAGGCTCATTAAACATTTGTTACCCAGGATAAGACACTATGTTTCCTCTTTTTTTCCATTCTCTGTATGTATCGGTTATGGAGGAATAAGCCAAGCAACTAGAGGATAAAGTCCCTATTGAAATAAGGCTGTATTGAGGAGAAAGGAGAGGAGGAAGGAGAGAGAGGTTCATGTCATGAACACTGACTTACCACGCAGATTAGATTGAACTACATTACCATCTCAACTTGTATGAATTGAACTATTATTCACTTATATAACTTTTCTCTCAATTTATTTTATTTTATTTTTTAAATTTTATATTTTCACTTCATCTTTTTACTTTTATGAGTTTTCCATGCACGCAGTTTTTTATGCATATTAATTTTTTGATTCACTTTAATCATGGATTTAAATATTATGCAATTATGGATTCAAGCATCATGGTTATAGATTAATATTGAATTATTGGTGATACACAATATTTATTTTATAATTTATTTAAAGCACTTATAGTTATATAGTTTGGAGCGCGGTACAATATAGATATATGAAATTAACATCCATACACCTGGAGAGGGTGTAATAAGTACCTAGCGATCTAAATATTTCAATTAAGCACGTTAATTAATTTAGTAGGGGTTCACTTTATTCAGTACTTAATATCATTTCTATACACCGAATTTATTGCTGTACAAGTAAGAAAACTTCTAGTGGCTCACAAGTATTTAATTAATTTGCATTTCTAGTCCCCTGTATTACTGTTCTGGTGTCAAACCAAAATTTGGGATTTTCTTATACTTCACTGTTGATGATAATGGTAAAAAGGACAAATTGAGAGGGTGAGTCTCCCTAACAGAGGTACAGACAGCAATACAAACCGACAGGGGTTCTAATCCCTCTCCACTCTGTCCAAAACTACAAAAAAAGTTTTGCCTTTAGTTATACTATAATTATTATTTAAATTATAATGGTACATTGACTATACATTACCATGTATGCCTACATTTTGCATTTTAAAGCAGAGTTCCACTCACTCTGTAAAAAAAAAAAAAAGTCAGCAGCTACAAAAACTGTAGCTGCTGACTTTTAAAAAAACAGCCACTCACCTGTCCCACGATCCCGCGGTGCCCCCCCGCCGCAGCCGGTTTCACCAGCCGGACTGTATTCCAGCACCAGCATCTTCAGTGTGGGCCCCTGGCTGTGACAGCTTGTGGCTTTACAGCTGGGTGCTCACTGCGCATGCGCTTCCTGAATGGCACCGTCGTCTTCTGGTACCCGTCACGCATCCCACAAGACTACGGGGGAGGGAGGGTAGGAGGATAACTTCCGCTTCCCATCGCCTAGGCGATCGCAGTGGAAGTTGGGAGCGGGTACCTGTCAATTTCGGGTACCCGTTACCCCCCACTCCCCAAAAGGTGCCAATCCTTAATGGGGAGCAGGGGACCAATCTTTAAAGCGGAACCTCCCCTTTTGGGTGGAGCTCCGCTTTAAATAGATGTAAACTCCAACAGAATGACACCTATTATGGTAAAGCACTGTGTATCAAAAACAATTGCCTTTTTTTAAGTAAATACTGTTTCACTGGTTGTGTCTCAGTGCTTATGCCCTCCTGCAGTGTCTTTCCCAGCCACTTGCTGTCTACATGCAGTCCAGGCATTGTTGCATGGCTTTTCTCAGGGTAGGTTTCTTGATGGTGTCAACAGTGAACCATGCCTGCATTATACAGTATTTATTAAAATTTCCACTTGTAGACTCCATCTGGAAAGTCCCTGTTAGGCTAGATTCACTTCTGTGCAGGTGGTGCCACTGCAGATATGCACGAAAATCCATGCAGCTGCAGCACCCGCACAGAGGACTGTGGACCTGCGAGTGGGTGTCATTAGTTCTAATGGCACACCGCACGCACTGGAAAACCCAACCGTACTGGGAACCAAGGTTCCTGTGTGGGCTGTGTTTTCCAGAGAAGTGCAGGGACTTCTTCCCTGTGTGTCACAGAGCATGGGAGTCCATGCAAATGAATGAGCTCTCGTGCCCACGCAAAATGCTGCCCGCACAGCTGCATATATGTGAACCAGGGGTAATAGAGTGCCCAATGGGGAGACAGGGAAAGAGCACCATCAACCTATTACAGAAAGTGTCTGCATCACCAGCTATTATTTTATTGCACATGGGGATGTGCTTAAGGTGCAATCTGAACACACGTTTGGACTGAACCTTGACTGCTCAGGTGTTTGGATGAATGCCCGACCATTTACCCATTTGGCGGAAGCCAAACTTCATATATAACAGCGGTAATACTACTGCTGTTATGCACCTTAGATTGTACGCCCCTTGAGGGTTAGGGACTAATGCGAATGTACAATATATGTATGTAAAGTGCTGTGTAAATTGACAGCGCTAAATAAGTACCTGAAATAAATAAAAAATAACATTTTCCCACTGTCAATGGTTGCTAGGGACACCAGTTGTCTAGGCACCACCGAGTCCTTAACAACCAGCGATGTCGCCGGCTCTATTCGCTTACATGGCTGGGAATCTTCAGACATGTAAGCAAAGCAAAGGAGTTATGAAAAAAAAGGGCATGGGAGTTCTCCCATAATTCATACCATGTCCTGGTATGGTCAATGATGTCACCTGGAACATCCAGTCCCTTTCTTTATATCAGCTGTCATCTGCTGGACCTGAAAGACAAGTCCAGCAGATGACAGTTGAGATGGATGAATCAAACAAAACAGACGTGTGTCTGCAGCATTTGTTTTTCTTTCAGCAGGTTGGTAAGCATTAGACATTGTGATTGTGATTAGAGATGAGCGAATCGAACTTGGCGAAGTGGAATTCGTTTCGAATATTAGGAAAAATTAGATTCGCATCGAATCCGAATTTTAGCAAACTTCGGATGCACGAATCGAATTTTCCCCGATCAGCCGGCAAAAGTGTCACTGCAGAGAGCTCCGCTATTTCTGACAGTTCTCTGACAGTTCTGACAGTTCATTTACAGCGGTTGAAACATTGTATCTATTTGTTTCCATTTAGGATACAGATGTTTTTATTCGGAAATAAATAGATACAATGTTTCCAACCGCTGTAAATGAACTGTCAGAACTGTCAGAGAACTGTCAGAAATAGCGGAGCTCTCTGCAGATACACTTTTTGCTGTACTGGAATTCTTCTTCTTTTCATTCTTCTTCTTCTTTTCATTCTCTTCTTCTTCTTCTTTCATTCTTCTTCTTCTTCTTTTCATTCTTCTTTTCATTCTTCTTCTTCTTCTTTTCATTCTTCTTCTTCTTCTTTTCATTCTTCTTCTTTTCTTTTCATTCTTCATTCTTCTTCTTTTTCATTCTTCTTCTTTTCATTCTTCTTCTTCTTCTTCTTTTCATTCTTCTTCTTCTTCTTTTCATTCTTCTTTTCATTCTTCTCATTCTTCTTTTTTCATTCTTCTTCTTTTCATTCTTCTTTTCATTCTTCATTCTTCTTCTTCTTCTTTTCATTCTTCTTCTTCTTCTTCATTCTTCATTTCATTCTTCTTCTTCTTCTTTTAATTCTTCTTTTCATTCTTCTTCTTCTTCTTTTCATTCTTCTTCTTCTTCTTTTCATTCTTCTTTTCATTTTCTTCTTCTTTTCATTCTTCTTCTTCTTTTTTCATTCTTCTTCTTCTTCTTCTTCTTTCATTCTTCTTCATTCTTCTCTTCTTCTTCTCTTTTCATTCTTCTTCTTCTTCTTTTCATTCTTCTTTTCATTCTTCTTCTTCTTCTTTTCATTCTTCTTCTTCTTCTTCTTTTTCATTCTTCTTTTCATTCTTCTCATTCTTTCTTTTAATTCTTCTTTTCATTCTTCTTCTCATTCTTCTTTTCATTCTTCTTCTTCTTCTTCTTTTCATTCTTCTTCTTCTTCTTTTCATTCTTCTTCTTATTTTCATTCTTCTTCTTCTTCTTTTCATTCTTCTTTTCATTCTTCCTCTTCTTTTCATTCTTCTTCTTCTTCTTTTCATTCTTTCTTTTCATTCTTCTTTTTCTTCTTTTCATTCTTCTTCTTCTTCTTTTTCATTCTTCTTTTCATTCTTCTTCTTCTTCTTCTTTTCATTCTTCTTTTCATTCTTCTTCTCTTCTTCTTTTCATTCTTCTTCTTTTCATTCTTCTTCTTCGTCGTCGCCCCGTGACTGCCCAAATGAGTGAAGTGTGCGGTGATTCTAAGATCGACGGCACTCATCTGCATGTCATACTGACTGACAGTATTATTTCTCTTCCCCAGCAGACTCCAAGGGCATTTAAATTAAAGGTACAGTGTTCTGCACTAATATAAAGGCTCTCTGAAGCCTAGAAACCCTTTAAATAAGTTAAATTTGCGGCGAATAAATTCGCATCGAATCGAATTTCTCCCGCAAATTCAGCGAATCAGCCGAATCAAATTTTTGAATAATTCGCTCATCTCTAATTGTGATGATTGATTTAACCGCTTGCCCAGAGCCCTATAGCAGAAAGACTGCTACAGGGCAGCAGGGCTGCGCAAAATAACATATTTATACGTGATTTGTATTTCCAGGTAGGGGGCGTGCGTGTGTGCCACCTTACCCACGCTGCCATTAGCTGCTAGGGATGACATTTACTGGGTCCCGGCCAGCAATTCCCAGCCGGCACCCAGCAATCATTGGGAAAGGCTGACAGGGGACAGACCTGTGTGTAAACAATACAGGTCTCTCTCCTGTCAGCATAGACATGCTGCTTTGTATCTCTCTGCACAGTAGAGAGGTACAAAATAGCATGTCTCCAAAGTAAAACACAGCACACAAGGTAAAACACACACACAGAGCCCTCAGTTAACCCTTTGATCGCCCCAGGTGTTAAACCCTTCCTGCCCAGTGTCATTAGTACAGTCTCAGTGCTTTTTATTAGCACTGATCACTGTATTAGTGTCACTGGGGATGTCAGTGGCAGTTAGTCAAAGCCAATGGCTCGCGCTGCTGCCTACATGTCCAGTGAGGAGAGAGAGCTACTGCATTCAGGCACAGTAATTGATCCAAATCGGGCTCAGGTAAGGAAGGTTAGGGGGATGGAGATGAAAAAGAATGTTTTGTATCCTAATGTGGAGAATGCATTAAAGGATAAGTTCACCTTTCAACAAACAATAACACATGCAGGTAAAAAAATGTGCATTACTAATCCTAGGACCCTGAATTCACTATATCTGGTCTCCCACACTGCACACAACATGGAAATGCAATTATTTTAGTAAAAATAATTTACTATAATATAAATATAAATATAAACCTTTTCTCATCAGAAGTTGGAGAGTCAGTCATCAGTGTACAGCAGAGCACTGGTTATAGCTTGTAGGAGGAGTTTTCATTCTCCCCTGATTGTCCTATGAGGCTGCAGGACCCCTGACCCTCTGTCTGAACAGTGTTGATTGGTCATGTGCTGATTACATGCATTCTCTCAAGAAAAAAAAAAACTCTAGCAGTACACACGATACTGAGCATTTGCAGAGTGTCCCCGAGGCTCTGTTCTATCAGGAGATGAAATGGGGAATGTGGAAGAAGGGGAGGATCAGAGAAGACAGAATCAAACATCCTTTTTATAGAATGCAGAGCAATACAAAGCAGTGCGCTTACAGTGAAACACATAGCACACAGCCTCATAGTAAAAACAGCACACAGTTAACCCTTTGATTGCCCCACATGTTAACCGCTTCCTGCCCAGTGCCATTAGTACAGTGTCAGTGTACAGTGCTTTTTATTAGCACTGATCATTGTATTGGTGTCACTGGGGATGTCAGTGACACCAAGTCAGTTCCCCCCCAGTGTCAGAATGTCCGCCGCAGTCCCGCTATAAGTTACTGATCGCCACTATTACTAGTAAAAAAGATTGTTTTTTAGCAAAGACATTAGCAGAATACATTTTGGCCTAAATTTATGACGAAATTTGATTTTTTAAATTATTTTACTGGACATGTTTAATAGCAAAAAGTTAAAAATATTGTTTTTTTTTCTCAAAATTGCCTATCTTTTTTTGTTATATAGCGCAAAAAATTTAAAATGTACAGGCAATCAAATATCACTCGAAAGAAAGCTCTATTTGTGGGAAAAAAAGGACGTAAATTCCCTTTGGGTGCAACGTTGCATGACCGCGCAATTGTCAGTTAAAGTAACACAGCGTTGTATCGCAAAAAATGGCCTGGTCAGGAAGGGGGGTAAATCCTCTGGAGGGCAAGTGGTTAAATACATATTATTGTTATTATTATTATTAACAATAATATTATATAAATATTCTAAATATTGTTATTGTCATGTTTAATAATTTATTGGCACTTATCCACTTTGTACTTTTTATAAATAATTGCTCTGGTGAGCACAAAGGGAATGGTTTTCCTGGTGTGAGATGTGCTCACGGATCTCTGTTCTGTTTTTTCCATTCCTCCCTGCGTTCTCACTGTCACTCTGCGGACAGATCCCGGCCTGTTTCCTGTCACCCAGCATAGCTAACCGCTCACCAGTAAGCACAGTTGGACAGGCTCTAATTAGTGCTACTTGGGGTAGTCAGTAGCATTGTCTGTGTCAGAATCTCACTTACACAGCCATAGACTAGTGAGAGCGAGCTGACAGTTGGGAACACACAACATCACGTCTCTTTCCCTTCCACCTACAACAAAGACAATGTTGCATGACTGATATTGTTATGGGGAGAATGTATGAAATAATGGTCCATATGTAAATGAGGCTCAAATGAACCTGTCATGCTTTTAGTTCACATATTGAAGCATAGCAGACCACAAATCTGACTTGGGATACATTTACGTCTGTTTTGATCGCCTTATATCTTTTTGATGGCAAAACTGTCAAAAGCAACTTTCAAGAGAACCCACAGCGGTTTTTGGTCATTTGTTTTAAAGTTTGTTTTTAAAGCAATTTTTTTAATGCATTTATTTGTATTATATACATAAACACTGATACAAGTCACTTCCATGCTTCAGTAGGTGACGTGCATGCTGGTCTAACCTAATAAGAAAGCCTAGCACTAGATTTGCACATTTTAGGCATTCCTTATGATTGAAGATTTCCATTGCTCTGTCTCTATTTGAAGAGGATTAAAGCTGGTCATAAATGGATCGAAATTTGTCAGATTCAGTAAGGACCAGGTAAATTTCAATTCACCTATTGATGTTCCAACTAGAGGAAATTCGATCTAACAATCAGCTTCTCTCAAACGTGAATGCTGGAAACTTTTCCTTTGGTCAGCACTGCAGCCAACAGGCTGCAGTGCTGATCAGTGTATTCTGACAGCAGAGGAGTTCCTGCTGTCAGAATACCATAACGCAGTGGGAGTATTCCTTCATCCGCCTCAAATGTGTGGATGGGGGATCCATTCAGTTTTTGTTTTTTTTTTTATTAGCTGGCTACCTAGTTCAAAAAAGATCTACTGGTCAGCTTAAAGTGTTACTAAACCCCGGACCCTGCATTCACTATATCTGGTCTCCCATAGTACACAGAACATGGAAATGCAATCATTTTAGTAAATATAAACTACTAAATACCATTTCTCATCAGCAGTTAGAGCAGTCTTGTGACTTCTATCAGTGTCCAGTCGAGCACATGGTAAAGCTTGTAGGAGGAGTTTTAATTCTGCTCTAGGTGGATGCAGGACCGCTGACCTCTGTGGACAGTGCTGATTGGCACTGTGCTGATCACATGCACTCTCCCAAGAAAAAAAAAAAAAACCCTCTCTAGCAATACACATCAAACTGAGCATGTGCAGAGTGACTCCACACGATATGTCTTATCAGGAAATAAGAGGGGGACACTGGAAGAAGGGGAGGATCAGAGAAGACAGGATCAAACAGCCTTTTTACACAATACTGAAGATTAACCCCTTAGGTTCCACAGTGAGTATAACAAGCATGCTTTACTGCATATACAGACTGATTTTACTGATTGTGAGTTTAGGAACACTTTAAGAGTGTTGTCCCTCCTCTGAGTCATTCAGCTGACTTATTATCTCTTAGATTGTTAGCTCCAACGAGCAGGGCCCTCTGATTTCTCTTGTGCCAAATTGTATTGTAACTGCAATGTTTATTCTCATTTTGTAAAGCGCTGACTGTTGGTGCTATATAAATCCTGTATAATAATAATTCTCTCGTGTTGTTATCTGAGATCCTACTATTAAAGTATATATTCTTAGCCCAGCAGTAAAACAGTTGCTTGAAGCCCTGGAATATCAGAATTGCATTTACCACCTACTTGCTGAAAATATGAATATTTATAATAGAATATTTTATATTTTACCTAACTAAAAATAAAGACGCCCACAAACAGGATCTCCCTCCCAGGTCTGCGAGTAGAGCCTGAACACTGTGGTGAAGTTATCTATGGTCCCCAGCTGTGGATGCGTGACTGTTCCAGCTAGCCCAGACTGCCCAAACTTTTTTGTGGTCTTCAGCTGCAAGAGTCTAAACTGTTCCAGTATGCTGTTACTGGAACTTTAACTGTCTTGTGGTCGTCAGATGCAAGAGATAGACTGCTGAAGTCTATTATAATTGTGCTAAACTTCATTGTTCATGGTCTTCAGTTGTACTGTGCTACTGCTTCGGAGAGAAGCATCCTCAACTTAAATTTGCACTCAAGCATTTTGGAGTATCCCAAATGAGTAAACTTCAAAAAAGATATCCCCTAGACTGATTACTGAGTTTGAGTGATTGAACTGTTGTATGTCAGGCTGCCTCCACACTGTCTGGAAAAGGACCTGTTCTAAATTCAGTGACCCTTTTGAGGGTGAGCTATACACTAGTGAACAGAATCACTGTATTAAATATATACAGTAAAAATACATATTTTATACAAATAAAAATATTTATATAAAATATTAGTCCATGTACACAAATGTATATATTATAAAAAAATTAATAAATAGACCAAATTCCACTAACCTGTACACACATCGCAACGCACAGGAAGCAGAGCCTGGACATTGCATTGGAAGATTGGGAAGTACACATGGGCTCTGAAGTAATTCAAGACAAGGTCTTCTTGAGTGTGGTCAGGTTCAGATGACCAAGCCACAAAGAGAAAGGTGTGTGGAGTGTTCAAGATTTAGGCAGATATCTTGGAGAACCTGCCCTCAAAGGTAACCTAAAGTGGACCTATTATTAAAATGTACTTAGCATGAATCAATAGAATATATGTCAGAATGAAAACAAAATCATACTATTTACAGGAAACTTTTTCTAAGGGAAACATTAAAACTGTCCATGCCTACAAATTCTAATGCTTTTCTTGCCATTCCAATTATCTGTCACTAACCTTGAACAAATCTGTAGGCCATGGCCAGAAGTAGAGGATGTGCTGGGGTGGGCTATGCCCCCCAGACTTTAGCTGTACCCCACAAAGCCAAAGCTATCTGTGTGGGGAGGAGGAGCTCTGCTGCCTGTGCCCAGGCTGTCTGCAGTGCAGGGATAGGAAAAAGAGCTCTGCTGAGTGCCATGCCTTAAGAGACTCCTTTCCTCTGCCCTGCCAAAAGTGACCTCTGTTCTATGCCGTGCCAGCAGTGACTCCTGTCTACTGCCTTGCCAGTTGTAACCCTTGTCCTCTGCCCTGCTGACCCCTGTCCTCTGCCCTTCTGACCCCTGTCCTCAGCTTTCTTGTCCCCTCTCCTCAGCTCTGCTGACCCCTTTGCTCTGCCTTGCTGAACCCTGTACACTGCCCTGCTGACCCTTGTACACTGCCCTGCTGACCTCCCATTCTCTGCCCCCTGACATTTGTTATTGCACTCCCCCATCAGACAGGCTAGATCCAGAACTGCTTTAGGCAGGCTGAAGTGGGACCCACTAAGTGGCCCACCTTAGACTGTAACTCTTTTAAATCCTATCAGGAAGGATGGTGAGTCCACTACCTTCCTGGTAGGATTCCCTTAACCACTTGGCCTCTTGAAGTTTTTACCCCCTTCATGACCGGGGCGTTTTTTGCTATTTACCATTGAGCTACTTTAACTGGCAAGTACTCAGTCATACAAACACTGTACCCAAATGAGATATATATAATTTATTTTCACACAAATAGAGCTTTCTTTTGGTGGTATTTAATCACCACTGGGTTTTTACTTTTGTTTGCTATATAAACAAAAAATATCAACATTTTGAAAAAAATAAAACTTTTTTTTTAGTTTCTGTTATAAAACTTTGCAAATAAATAATCTTTCTTCATACACGTAGGCTAACATGCATTCTGCTACATTTCTTTGGTAAAAAAAAAATAACCCAAATCGGTGTTTGTTAATTAAACTGTGTGAAAGTTATAAAGCCTACAAACTATGGCATATACATGTCCTGATGTACTGACTGCCTCTTATTTCATGAGACCCTAAAATGCCAGTACAGTACAAATACCCCCCAAACCCCCAAATGACCCCTTTTGGAAAGTAAACAGCCTGGGGTATTTAGTAGGAGATATTAGAGGCATTAGTTTTTTTGAAGTTGCAATTCTGTGTCACAATTTTTTGGGAAAATTGAGAAATTAAATAAAATTATTTTTTTCTCACAATATTTTTTTACATACTGTCACCATTGCAGTACAGCATCATCATATGACTGATGTGGCGATGATTAGGGATACTGACTGGTGAAAGTATTTAAAAAAAATTTAATTTTTTTATATGAAGGGCAGCACAGTGCCTAAATGGTTAGCACTTCTGCCTGGCAGTACTATGGTCGTCGGTTCAAATCCCAACCACGGCACCACCTGCATGGATTTTGCATGTTCTCCCTGTGTCTGTGTGGGCTTCCTCCCACACTCCAAAGACATGCTGGTTGGTTAATTGGATCCTGTCTAAAATTGGCCCTAGTATGTGTATG